ATATGGAATGTTAACCGACTGAAATGTTATATCTGCTTGCCTGCATGGCGTGGAAATCTTGTGAGCAGCAAATAAATAAATATGTCAGCTTTCCAAGTGAAAAAGCAATTATTGGGAACAGCATAAACATATATAGAAGAGGCTAATATTAATATTAACCGTAACTGCCAGAATGTATCAATCCGTCTAGAACATATACAATAATAAAAGCAACTAGCTTTTAAAATTGCATTGTAGCTTGCCCTAACAATATATACAGCCATTATAGAGAAAACATCGCTCTCTGCTTCACTTATAGCTTATCAGAGGGAAAACTATTTGAATAAATGTACCCCTTATACCCACGTAGATATAAAACACTGGCTTGATTCAGTGCGAAAACGAAAGTACACACACAGGCACTGACAATACATTGGGCAGCATACAAAAGAATTTGGCATTATTATAATTAAATGTAGTAATATAATATACTATTGGCACGAGCTGAATTAATACTTCCGTGTACTTTCGAGTGGGGTTGTGCAAGTAATGTCGATTACTGTGTTCCACTATTGTTAAGGATGATATTACAGTATTGTGCCAGGCTCGGACGCAAAAAATAAGACAACGGATCAACTGTATCACCTTTCAATGACACGTTTTTCTGGGGAAACTGCGGACTCTGACGTGTCAATGTGGGCATCACTAATGCGTCATAATCATTCAAAGAAGCATCATATTTCTTTCCAAGTTCTATTGCCAGATTTTTGCACTTTGCATATATCATTCCGCCGTAGTTGCGATTTAGATACTCGCCTGCCAACATGTTTTGCTAGAAGAAAGGGTAAAAACAACTCGCATTTCAAGGGGAGATAGAGAGAGGGTTGGAGATTGAAACCACCGCACCACATTTGTATAACCTTATCTCTGTATGAATAATTCAAAATAAAAATTTGCCACATTGACATGGATATGCGACTTCAGTTCCTTGTATAATGTTCATTTTACACTGTTGGATTATGGGAATTTATGTTGAATAGATTATACTCTATTGTTTGTACATTGAAAGACACTACAGCCACAATTGTTATAACAACGTGAGTTATTTACCTTGACTCTAACAGGCGCATCATTAGGCCTGGATTTGAAGGAGTGGTGAATGCTATCAAACAAGCTGGTTGGATGAAATCCTTTACTACCATAATTAAAACCTGTGACGTATCAATCAAAATGATTACACACAATGCGAATCATACTATCATGCCAATGGCCAATCAAATCAATTTATTTTAAGTTGCAATACAAAGATGTACCTACCTCTCGAAAATGTTGAAACCGCGCCTTGTAATAGTATCCCGCGCCTTATTGTGCCACCAACTGAATATACAAACATAAGAATATGTAAATTATAATTATCACCAACACGCTTGGTGTGGACACCATAGTAAGACAGTAAACAATATTGTTAGGTTAATATTTGTTTTTGCACCATAAGCTAATTTAGTATTTCTTATTCCACGTTTCACAATTTTTCAAACCATTCCATGACACGTGAATATTATTCCTGTACAAATAAGGTTATACTGACAATTTGTCAGCGATTACAGTGAATTTACTATAATTACAGCAAAATACAATTGTTTGTACAATCTACCTGAATGCATAGGTATCGAAATCTCATCTACTGATGCACCAGTCTTGGTAAATTGTCTGGCAGCTTGTCTCACTATATCATCCACATCTTTATCAGACGAGGACGTACCAAACCCCTCCTTGACAACACCGATTTTTATTCCATTCAAATCCCGCGAGAGCTTACAAAATAATATTATGTGAAGAAGAATTATAATGGTAGTACAAACATGTGTGACTATGCTTTCATATACATAACTATAGCTGATTTGTAATAAAATTATATCGCTTGGAGACTCAGTGTTTTCGTGCATATAAAATCATGTTATTACTTCAACAAGTTATTAAATGTAAAGTTACAAAATATAAGAAGATGTTGAATTGGTAAATTGTACAATATACTACATTGTTTAAGTCGTTACATCGGAATAACTCCACAAATATAGTTATATTACATACTTGTTTAGTGTATTCAGGTACTACTAAATCACGTGGTTGTCTCGGATCCACTCCATCGTCGTATCCAGCAAGCACCTGACATATGACATACACAACTAGTATGAACAAAGTGATTGAAACATAATCGCTACTATGTTGATTAGATTGCGGTTCAGCTGTGGAAAAGTATAATCAGTAAATTGCTGCACATACCTCTAATAGTAATGCACAATCATAAACCGTTTTCGTCATTGGCCCTACATTGTCAAACGTGGACTCCAATGACAGTATACCGGTATATGGTACCAACCCAAATGTTGGTTTCAATCCCACAATCCCACACGATGATGCTGGACTACGTATGGAGCCTCCCTGGTCAGTACCAAGCGCCATATCAACTGCACCAACTGACACCTGAAACATTGATAATTTAATTGTTTAATTATTTTAAAAGTGTAAATACAAAAACTGTTCTACCCAGTCAATACAAAGTATAAAGAGCAACATAAATAAAGAAAATATATGAGGTAAATTACAAATTCGGAACATAAAACAACAAACTGGCGAATAAGTAATTGATAAGTTATATCACAACCACTCAAACAACTCTGACAATTGATCTACAAGAACAAAACAAAACAAGAGCACTACAGTACATAGTCGCATCAGTAACAGAAAGAACTTCTTAATAAACATGAAGGTGGGCATCCTATTCTGCATGAGGCGCCCGAATTAATACTTTTTGTTATCTTATTTAACCACAAGATAATTGTATCTGTCCAAAATATGCTGGAATATATCCTATTTTTAAATCTGTATATGTACTACCCTTGTAGTTCGTATTCATCAATTTCCAAAACAAAATATACTTACTGCTTACCAGTGTAACATTCATAGACGTATTGGCGGAGTATTACAATATTACAATAAATACCGACAGAGAACAAATCTGTTCTTGTCACTGAGCCCATCGCCAACAACATATAAATAACAGCATGTAATGCAATACATAACTCAGTTGTGCACAATTGTATAGGAGGAATTTTTTCCGGACGAAAAATTGTAAAAGAACAGATAACGTTTATACCAATACAGCACTACCAGTGCTAGATCCACCAGTCATTCTTGTTGTATCGTAAGGATTAGTTACTGGTCCATTAACAGACGTACAACTGCCACAAGATACACAGCAATTTTCGCAGGTTGATTTGCCGATGATACATCCACCTGTAAAACCACGAATGATATACAGACTAATAAGGTGCACATTTTACAAATTGCGAAGAGTATATTACACATTTAGAAATATCTGATTCTCCGTTAGAATTTTGAATTTATATAATATAATAACCTTCTCCCAGTATCTTGGTAATTACAGTTGCATCATAGTCTGGTGTATATCCATCGAAAAGGCGACTTCCATTGCGTAAAGGTACACCGGCTATTGGTATATTGTCTTTGATAGCGATAGTTTTACCCGCTAGCTTGCCATCACTACTTCCCTTAATATCACAGCGCCAACACCTAATCGGTAATAAACAGTGGAAGAGCTATATGATATCAATATAAATGCTGTATATATACATACAACAGCAGTATTGTTGAATTAAAAAAATGTATACATATTCTATATAACAGGTAAAATATGATGACATCAATCTTACAAGTTTTACATATAGATTGTTTATATCATGAGTTTTAATTTCTTTCATTGTAAATTAACAAAATAATGGCAAATTACAATATCGATATAATCTAATTCATGCGCCTCACGTACTTCACTTTTAACATATTGTTCAAATAACAAATTACACGGTAACGCATACCATACGTACCATGCATTATGTGGGTTTTCTTCATTTTTCGGTGCCCAACCTGGCGTACGTGGATATATTACGGGTAGTTGTGGTTCTACGAAATCTTCCAGCTTGTCAAACATTTTCAGTGAGCTCTTAATTTCTTCTACACAATTAGAATAAAAAATAACTGTACTGAACACTATTTGAGGGGAAAGGAACTCGCGCAACTTCCTTGCTCTCCGCGAGATCTCGGGGCCATTTTCGTTCATCAAAAATGATCATCTTTTTCTATTTTTTTTAGAGATTGTAGATGTGGTATATATTAACAAGAATATACATTTAAAAGAAAAAACGTTATGCGAAATCGCTGTGACCATTTCTCATGATTTATTCTACATTTTTCAAGAAAAAAAAAACGCGGCATATCTTCCAATTTATTCATAGTACTCATTTAAATCCTCAATAAATAATTAAGTCACTTAGCAGTCATGTTATGGCTGTGTCTAACATAACCTCGATGTATAATTAGTGTGACTTATGAACTTTCATAAAGTTTGATTTGCTTTAAAAAATCTTTTCCGTGAAGATATTTCGTGTGAATTTTGCTCCCGGAAAACCTCTACTACATCCTTAAATGACCGTGCACAGGAGTGGAAACTAAAATAGAGACCACACAACTAAATAGTTGCTTTGAATGCACTATATTTCCTAAACAATTTCTAGACATTCTAGCTGTATGGATTTGTTGAATCTTCACCAAAACGCCCAGCACCATGTGTACAACACAAAGTTAACTTTGTAGATTGTGCTCACGTGAGTGTATAAAGTGAGCCAAGTCATTTCAAACATACTATACGTTATTTCGTGGAATTGCACACAGTCATGTAACGGCCGCCAATGTGCAAATTCTGCCGATAGTTATATATACAAAATGCTAAATTAACTACCTTGATATTCCATTAGTTCATGCTGTTCAAAGGTAAATCCATAACTGTCTGCGATTTCAGCGACATCCGCAATAGTAGGTGCTTGTACAACGTGAGTTCTATACACTGACACACAGCCAAAAAGAAAAAAAACATGTATAACTGTATATAGTCAAAGGACAATGAATATATAAATATATATATAAGGTGAACGACGTCCATTTTCTTAGATACAGTGAGCACAAGTCTATTAAAACATTCCTTAGCTGGGTACAATTGCTGATTTCAACAGCAGTAACATAACGCCATATATATTTTAATTTGTTATACACGGACGGTAATCGACTGATGGTTTCTATTTATGTTACGCTTGATAGATTGATTAGCGGCATCATTGATTTAGCCAATCCTAACTCAGACTCACCCGCTAATTCAACCAGAATACAGGACATCGCGGGTATATCTAACACTGTGATATTCATGGTGGAGGGTAGTTGGATCATTCCAAAGTGAAAAACCCAAAAACGTACAAAATCAGGAAGCATAGAATAGTATACCACGACCATAAATTAATTTGAATTAATGAGGGTGGTACGAAATTTTGCATGGGGGAGGGGATCTGCTGACCATCCCTGGCGCGACTTTACTAGGGGTTCCGAGGGCATGATCCTCTTTAAAAAATTGAAATCTAGACCTTATGAAACGCTATTTCCTGCATTTTGAGGGGAAAATTTTGCTCACACAAAGGGTTTCAGCTTGATTTTAGGGGGCGACGCCCCCAACAATTTATCGAGGGGCGACCGCCCCTCTGTCCCCCTGTACCGCCACCACTGCAGCATCACAAAATCAACATTCGATATGAAACATTTTCCAATAAGATCAATCGAGTTGAAACTCGGACTCACGGGTGTTTCGCGCATATTTGGGAAGGGGATTGACTGTGTAATGGGGAATTCTAAACATTATGTACTTCCCAAGTTTAACTTAGTTGCATGGAGTGCCTATCAGAAACAGGATTCGCTATAATAATGCATGAATATTTAATGTAGTGAAGACAATAAATACAATCAGTATAGTACGAGCATATATAAGTTTTGCCCAAATTACTCAGCATTGAGCGTCCAACTAAATTGTGTCAAAATTACAAATTTTGAGAGAAATCTACAAGAAAAGGAGGCAAACATTCCAAAACAAAGAAAAAACAATAACGAATTAGCATGACAAAACAAGGGCGTATTTGTTGTATTGAACGCAAGGATATTTCTCATGATGCAAATAATAAACTGTCGTGTACTGTCGCTCACTGTGTTATTATGTTGGTTCTATCGGTGTCAAAATACCCTCGCGTTCACGAATAAATAAACCGGTGTTTAGCGCTGCCTTTAATGACATGGATTAGTTAGATTGCTGACATAAAGTCATATCCTTGTTGTTGTTAACATACATCGAGCAAGCTGGGATTATCTATCAGTCACTGTCTCGAGTAGGACAAACAGTGGTACGACAAAAGCAAATATATTTTTAGGCACACCCCTTCCAAACGACGGTGTACAGGTGATAATAAATTTACTTTACCAATATTTACTATATGGGTCAGCCATCTTGAATACGGCTTGACTCATTCGGTCTCTTTCTTTAGTTCAAGCCGTATACAAGATGGCTGCGCCCATGTAGTAAATATCGTTTATTTTATTATAACGCCGTATTACTGTGTTAGAAACGCCGATTCCACGCCGGTGTTTCTTGTTTACACACGTTCTTAGCCAGTGAGAACAAGGCTGTAGACGCTGATAGTATCAGTGAAACAAGTAGTATAACACAGTAGGCCACAGAAGGCCGGTTTACTCGGTAAATAAAACTGATTGATAAAACTTAGATAAAACTAATTGGGCAAACCGTCGATGTACTGCGTGATACATTTCACTCAAACTTTACCGATGTTATTTTTACTTACGGAAGTTTGAGTGAAGGTTACCGTTTTTAAAATTTAGTCTAGGAACTGCATAAAATAGGTTGTATGCAGATAAGTCAATATGTTTGCTGCATCTACTAGTCGGCATTTCCCGGCGCGGGTTATTACAGTTCACTCGTGGCAACAAGTGACTTTTGGAAACGAAAATATTTTGGTGTGAATTAAAGGCGCACCGCTCGGATTTCAGAAACACACGTGATTTAATGCTGGAGCCTCCGCTGTAGTCGATGTTGTTTAAACTATGGGTGCTTAAACTATTAACTCATATGTACAAGCAATACAAAACCAATGTTACCTTCAGACATCGTGTACCGTAGTCGTGTATCTATGCGTCAAATATGTCAAAGTGCACTATTACAAGATACACATTGAGGTCACACATCAGCTAACGTAAACGTCAGCATTTTGTTGTGTTCATATTTACTGAACACTCAAATACTCGTGACAGTGTTAACAAATTGATTCTAGGGTATGTAGAGTTTCATAATATGAACATAATAGACTATATATGGCTTATTGTAATTGAAGAAACGAAACGGGATGACATACATAATAAAAATTAAACGGTAATCAAAGAAAATTGGTTTTATACGTACAATAATTACAAAAATATTACAATATACATGTATATTTAAAAATAACAATATTTTAATTGGCCAGTATATTCACCCCTAAGTTGTGTATATACCTTCATAAAACATTTGCCGAAAATAACGGGATTTTAATTACAAAACGGTACGTTTCGCTAATTACAGATAATCAGAAATCTGTAATCAGCAAAACAAGAGTCTTACACGTACAATATTCACAACTGTCAGACAAAACTTCACCAGTATATTTAGCTTTCAGTCGTGTATATAACTCCATAAAACATTTGCCGAAAATAATGGGATTTTAATTAGTAAATGGCTCGTTTCGCTAATTATAGAATAATTATTAATAAATAAATAAATTAATTCTATCGAACTAGAAAACATTTGTTTATTCATCAACCTAAATATTATTTGTACAATTGTTCATAGGCATAAGCAACTTTCAAAACAGTACTCTCATCAAAGTGCTTTCCCACAATCATCATGCCGACAGGAAGTCCATCTACTTTGTTACCAGTGTTAATAGTAATGGCGGGATGACCTGTGAAATTGAAGCCACCGAGGTTGGACACGTTGTTATGTAATGCAGTGTTCAGATCTACAGGTAATATGAAGAGTATACAGTATAATTGATAAACTCGTTGTGTCAGTTTGATGAACATGTTCGAACATGTATGCGTTATAATACGGTATAATATATAGTATCAGAGGTTAATTGGGGTTTGCAACGCGCACAGTACTGTATGGTATGGTGACTTCATGCCAAGATCCCATCCAAGTCTCATCTCGTAGATAACGAGACTGATGGTATAACCTTCTGACATGACAGGCGGTTTGTAATAAAACAATATAACATGTATTACCACATTCATAGTGAAAAATGTAATACATCGAAAATGTATAGAAAATAAAATTATCGTAATCCGTCATATCGTGAGCTGCTATTTTGATCAACCTGGACATCCCAATATCCAAGTTACCTCGAGCATGCGTATTTGCATTTTTCTGAGTTAGAACACTTATGCGAGAGCGAGATTGAAACGGGATCTTGGTATCGTGTCACCGTAGTTGCAAACCCCAAGTAATGTACCTCTGATAAAATATATAATATGATATATAATATAATGTGATAATCAATCTTAAATGGGGCCAGCTATACTCAAATTTATACTTTAGTTGTGTCTTTCAAATTGGTCGCGAAAGTAATGTGGATTACTGTGGTCCTCTATTATTACGAGCATATTACAGTAGTGTGTATTTATATTGCGCGGGGCTTACATGAGAAAATACTAAAATAGAATAACTGAATCAGATTTACTCTGTCTTACTCCCACCTTTCAATGACATGTTTTTTCTGAGGGAACTCCGGGCTCCAACGTGTCAATGTGGGCATCACTAATACGTCACAATCATTCAAAGAAGCATCATATTTCTTTCCAAGTTCTATTGCCAGATTTTTGCACTTTGCATATATCATTCCGCCGTAGTTGCGATTTAGATACTCGCCTGCTAACACGGTTTCCTAGAAGAAGGCGGGGGGGGGGGTTGCTATAAACATGATTAGTACTATCATAACCAGTACATGACACCACAGTTGTATAACCTTATTTCTGCATGAACAATTTACAATGAAATATGGCCCATTGACATAAATATTCAGTTCTTTGTGCCTTTTTCATTTTGCACTTTTATATATGATGTGTTAAAATAGTTTGTTTACCTTGACTCTAACAGGCGCATCATTAGGCCTGGATTTGAAGGAGTGATGAATGCTATCAAACAAGCTGGTTGGATGAAATCCTTTACTACCATAATTAAAACCTGTGACGTATCAATCAAAACGATTACACACAATATGAATATAACTTTTTGTCAATGGCTAATCAATTAATTTTAAATATTGTTCCAAGATGTGAACACGATAAAGTACCTACCCCTTGGAAATGGAGAAACCGAGCCGTGTAAAGCTATTCCGAGCCTTATTGTGAAACTGACTGAAAATACGAACATAAGAATATTTAAACACAGTAAGATGAAACACTTTGACACCGAAGGAAAATTAACAATATTCACTTGTTAAACTAATATTTGTCAATGTCCCACTACCTACAATAATATTAAAACAAAATACAATTGTTTGTACAATCTACCTGAATGCATCTCATCTACTGATGCACCAGTCTTGGTAAATTGACTGGCAGCTTGTCTCACTATATCATCCACATCTTTATCAGACGAAGACGTACCAAACCCCTCCTTGACAACACCGACTTTTATTCTATTTAAATCCCGCGAAAGCTTGCAAGGTATTATTATATAAAGAAGAATTATGATGCCAGTGAATGTGATTATATTCAATTGTTTGTTGCTTGTTCAGTATAAAGTAATATGAGGTTATTACAAAGATACTGCAAAGTATACACGCAGACAATAGAGCGGAAGTCGATGCGAAATACAAAACGTTTAGAACATATTTAACTTCTTTGTGTGTGCTCCGGTCAAACCCTGGGGGCAGCCATGTTTGTTTTTATTATTAGAGGACGCTTACGCGCGTAATCGTTCCATATTTGGAATTCGCGTTTCATAATATGGTAATGATGAAAATACTCAGTGCAATACCGCAACATTACGGCACGCTGTAACTTATGGCGTCACGGTGTCATATGTATAATACCAGAGTATACAAAACGAAGAATTCACATCATTTGTCTCTCGAATAATACACATAATTAATTTTGTAATTCCCACTACATAGAATGACATACTTGTTTAGTGTATTCAGGTACTACTAAATCACGTGGTTGTCTCGGATCCAATCCATCGTCGTATCCTGCAAGCACCTGACATATGACATACACAAATAGTATGAAGATAATAATTGAAACATAATCGCTACTATGTTGATTAGATTGTGGTTCAGCTGTGGAAAACAATGATCAGTAAATTGCTGCACATACCTCCAATAGTGGTGCACAATCATAAACCGATTTCGTCATTGGCCCTACATTGTCAAACGTGGACTCCAATGACAGTATACCGGTATATGGTACCAACCCGAATGTTGGTTTCAATCCCACAATTCCACACGATGCTGCTGGACTGCGTATGGAGCCACCCTGATCAGTACCAAGCGCCATATCAACTGCACCAACTGACACCTGAAATATTGATATATTGTGACTGTACTTCTTAATATTATTCACTGTAAGTATTCAATAAATATCATTGTATTATACCATCATTCATGCTTCGTGCTGATTGGTCGACAGTCACGTGAGTAGACAGAAGTAGACCCAAACGTGAATAACACACAGGAGGGGGGAAATCCTGCTGTCAACTGAAATCAACAATATTTTTTCTCTTACAAGCATAGAACGTTATGAAGAACATTGCGGTACTTTGGCATTTGAGGTTCAACAGGTGAACATTATTCCTACATAATGTTCTAAAAAATATTGTTCATCCCATGAGTTTTAATTATTTTTATTACCAAAATTGAAAATTACAAAATCAATATAACCAAAATTATGCGCCTCACGTACTTCACTTTTTACATATTGTTCAAATAACTAATTACAAGGTAACGCATACCATACGTACCATGCATTATGTGGGTTTTCTTCATTTTTCGGTGCCCAGCCTGGTGTACGTGGATATATTACGGGTAGTTGTGGTTCTACGAAATCTTCCAGCTTGTCAAACGTTTTCAGAGAGCTACTAATTTCTTCTACACAATAGAATATAATAATTAGCACAATCATATATAGAATACAAACCAAATTTCTCACAGAAACAAAATGTAGATCGGATGAGAAAAAGTAACACTCATATAGTAAGGAATTTTGTGGAAGCTCGTTATATTATAGTAAATATTGAGAATGTGTTTGCACTAGGACTAAATCCAAAATCAAGACTACTCAATTTGGACTGTTGCCTTGTGTGTGCGAAAATTCCAACAGAATTTCTTGACATTCTAACACTATATTCGAATATTCAAAATCCATGCAAAACAATCTGTACATTTCACTGCCATTTGTCTTTCTCTCATTGCGCTCATGTGAGTGTACTATATAGGAAGCAAAGTCGTCGCAAACATACTATATGGTTTACACATAATAAATGTCCGTGGAATTACATACTACAGTTATGTGACGTTTAATGTAGAGTTCTTTCGATAATCATATACGTTATATTTTAATTATATTAAGAATAAAATGCAAAATTAACTACCTTGATATTCCATCAGTTCATTATGTTGTATAATAAATCCATAACTATCTGCGATGTCGAAAAGTTCCGCAATGGTAGGTGTGCGTACAACAGGAGTTCTATAAACTGACACCCATCCGGTAAATAAAACATTGTATAAAATAAGATCGCTCAATCAAACTAACTGTACAGTATAAATGTTTAAATATTTATATAAACATTCATACTGATTGGTTTATTGTAATTAATTCTGATTAAAAATAACAGTAGTCTGTATGAAAAATAGCATTACATTTTTAGTATATATATAGTGAAATACAAAATTAGCCACATGATTTGCTTTGGTTTTTTTTAATATTATATTATTAAGTATAAAACTATTTTTCGAGTTTTATACAATTAACGTCCGATTGTATGACTTTTATCCTCTAAAATCCAAGCATATGAAAATATTAAATGGTATATACACCTAACTGTAGTTTACAATTGTACTTTTGACGGTAAAAACACATTTTCAATTGATTGTTTAATACCACGTAGTAACATTTGGACAAATCATCCATGCAATTCAGTATGGGTTATTTGCCTCTAAAGACAGTGCCATCACCAAGATGTGGACACTGAAAGCTTAGCATATACGCTATATACCGACGTTGTACCTTTCAACGCTCCTCGCCACGTGACGGATTTCAACGAAATGGCGACTAGTCAACCTTTAGTTTCCACACAGTATTTTATGTGATACATGTATTAGCCTTGTGTAGGGTTACTTTATCAATGCAATTGTGACTAAAACGATATTGCGGTATGATTTGGCCATTTTGTGTGTGTAAAGGTGACATTGTGGTACGAAGTGATTTTGGTTCACAGTTAAAATCGACTCGGATTTCAGGGTTGAATGCTGGGGGTAATTTTGAGACTTAAGTTGTAATACAATTTGTGTTTAAACTAATTTCTAATTTAAGTCGAAATCGTCGACTTCAACTATTATACACAAGAAATACAAAATGAACGTTACCTTCAGATATCATATATTTATTTATAAATGATGATTCAGGTCACATTACATCGACACCCAGTTTCTGGCAGCAAGGCATAGCGATTCTAAAGGTCGAAGGGGAGATGGTTTCCTATTTTTAACTGCGACATTACTTGAATTATTCTTACAGTTTTTTCCATAACTGAGCTGTTGTGAAACAGCCCAAAACATTGTGATACATTTTCAAGTTCACGTTTTAATATATTGATTTTTATTGTGCTTATTGGCACTTATCAAAATTATACACCCTATTTAAGAAATGGGCTGATACCATTATATAGGGATTTCAATAACTGATTCATTTCAGCACTGACTGCTGTTAACATTTTGACATCGCCTTCGTGTTCGTGTTCGTGTGGATTCGCCCTATGTATAGTGTTGTGTCGGTTAGTGATGCAATACTGAATGGTGTGAACGTGACATCTTTCAGTATTATGTCCTTAGCCAACACATCACTGTACACGGTGCCACATCCGTTATGCACAACTATTACATGCATACATTTTAATATGTCCAGCATGGTTATTGCTGGACACATTTACAAATGTTTAACCTCTATTTGTCATACTCTATAATTGCTTAGCAATAAGGTGTTTTGAGGGAGGTGGCATAAATTTACGACGCTGCTTGCAAATGTCACCAGATATTGGAAAAAAACTGAATGACTCCGTTGAAAGAGTATTATAAAATTTCATTTCATAACAACTGATAATACGAGGAATACAATATGAACGTTACCTCCAGCCATTATGTGTAGAGTATGAAAAAGCATGACCTTGTGACGAGTAGCAGTATATATAAGCGTGATGGCCATTAAACTTATCGTGATGTATATTCACCATACTGTGATGTCCATTCACCATATGGTGATGCCCATTCACCATACTGTGAGCTCCATTTTTGGGCTATAAATGTCGTCAATATTCATATATTTTTAGTGTCATATTTGAACTATTTAACGTGTTCCGATATCATAATATTGTTCTTAAATGCATATAACTGGCATAATGTTATCAGATGGAATGTGGTGTATATTATAGAAGTCTAAATATTAATGTCATGGGATAGGTACAATTTAAAAGTAAATTTTAAACGAAAAGACCGCGAAAACAACATAATACAGATGAAAGTGCAGAATGCAATTTATATTTTTATATCACTTTTCATTCAACTTTTCATCAGTATTATTTAGACCATCATCTTGATTCCCTAGCAAAGTTCTGTTGAAAAATTATGAATTCATAGCTACGGTTGTGAAAAATTGAGAAAATTATTTACATTTCTTTGAGAAGCTCTTTCACCGGAGAAGCATTATGTTATTTTTGCCTGGTCTTTCTGTTTAAAGAAAGAAACCTACCCGCGCATTTTTGACATATTTTGCGGATATTGTTGTGCATGCAGAAGTGAAAATATTTCATGTCAAAATCAATCTAAAATTAACCGTTTTAGTATTATTTACCACAATGAGGACAGTTCTTTCAATCTGTTTTTTTTTCAGAAAAAACAAATATATACAAACTGACAGTTTAGCAGCGACGATGAAAACATATTTTCGTATATAGATAAACTGTTTTCATCCTTATTTTCATTAAACAAAATACGTTAGCTTGTTAGCAAGGCGTCAGAGGCTGATATCAACATGAAGCTAATAAAGTACTGGCAAAAATTCATGAGAAGACCCTTCAACCAAAATTATCTTCTTCCATTACATACAGTCTTGGACATACTAAACAACTGAATTAAAGTGAAATTTATTGTATCGTGTCATGGAAAACAATCATTATACACAAAATATAGCCTCACATGAATAACTGTGGACCAGTAGTCTCATTCAACCAGTGATCATCAATGCATCAATTTGTCGGTTAATTCGCTCCAAGCTACAACTTTAATTGTAATTTATTTAATATCAAACTACCCATACTATACCCATCTTTTCATACTTAATATTTCATTCATGATCACCAAGATGATCGCTGGCAATCAGATGCATAATTTAAATTAGAAGATATTGTACACATGCCATTCAATTGCAACACCCGTCAATGAAACACTATGTACATCTATAGCAGTAACTGCTAAGACACTTTTTTTCTGGTAGTTGTCAAACCAGAAAACGAATAGTGTTCGTGAGATGATTGACTTTAGTCTAAATAACGCTATAAATCACCGCCACCACCAAATTAAATGAATAACACACTTAGCAACCTGCTATTAGGCTTAACGATGTTTTCACGTCCAATCAGTTGGCATCTTGTGATTGTTCATATGCAAATGCAACTTTGAAAAGTGTACTTTCATCGAAATGTTTTCCAACAATCATCATACCAACCGGCAGACCGTCTGTTTTGTAACCAGTATCAATAGAAATTGCTGGATGACCAGTTACATTGAATGGAAATAGAAGATTCCCCCCGCTGCTGCGGCACGCTGCCGTGGCATCTGAAACACAAGAGCAAAACTGATTAAAGGAAAAGTAATTATGCAAATTGGTTGTGTCATTGTAATGGTTCAGTATAACAAAGTATTTTGCTGATGAACCTATATGACTGGCGATGATGGATATTACAAAACTAAAAGAACTAATTATTAGGCAGACTAGCACAACTTATATAGCATTATTTAAAATATGGATTTGTCATGCATTTCAATAAATCTATACGGATTCATTCCAATATATATTTAATCATATTCATTTAGACCGAACAATTCTAATCTGCTGTATACTAGGCTGAAATGTTATCATTTCCTTGACATGAAAACTGAATTCTAGTGAGGTAATACAAAATCACTTCAGGTGTAGTAATTCCTGAATATCAAACGTGCTTTTAGATGCTCTATTTTGTCAGTCTAATTCAAGACATTCGTTTATTGAAATAAGTTGATTTTCCCAAATTGACCCCTTTCGAAATGACGCCATTTTTTCATGCTATTCCTTTTCCTAAAGATTTCGATGACAAACATATTTCTGAAAATGCAATCTCTTTTTTTGACAACACTTCAATTATCATATAAATATGCTAAACAAATCACTTTTGGCAACTTTCATAAGCACTGTCTGACTAGTTACTCGCCACAATGGTTAAAAAAATAGTAAGTGAACTTTTACGATGGGGTCACAATATTGGGCTGCAATGGCCAATTAACCACCCCGAAGCAAATTACTTTTTCATAAAAATATATCACAAAAAGTTGTTGTCAGAGACAGCTATGAACCTGGGATCCCCGACTATAATGATTGATAAATAAGCCAACAACAAGACGACGACGGCGACGACGACGACTATTTCTTGTAATTTCTTTACCACAACAGGCAAGTTAAATGATTTCATGATTTCAAAATGATTTCACATGTAACACAAAATACTAAATATTAGATCGATTTGTCAATGTTGACTACATACCATTTAGAGATGCATTTTTGGGAGGCAATTTAGGTATTGTCTTTGTTAACGTGGGCATTACCAGGACGTCACATTTGTTTAACACTTCGTCGTATTTCTGGCCGAGTTTTCTTGCCATGTTCTGAAACTTTGCATACATCCTACCGCCATACTGACGGCTCAGATATTCGCACACCATCAGCGATCGCTATAAATATAAATAAACAAATCAGTACGTGTTAACATATACACTGTATGTGTTAGAATTAATTTAGTTGTATGAAAATGTTTTCAATCGCCTTCGATCACGTATAAGTGATCAATTGATAATTACTATTTTTTTTAAACTAATGAAGTAATAATATTCAAAGGTCAGTGCACATAATGTAGAACGAATGCAAAGTTGTAGAAATGCACAATTTGACAAAATCATTAAACACTAACATGTGAACTACTACATGCTGCACTACTAATATAACAAATCCAAAACAAGTAAACGTTTTAAAAACAGAACACCTGTTAAATGTTAAGAGAATTCGTTTTTCTATTGATTTTAATTCAATAGTTAAAATACGTCTTTTTGAAAAGACCTGTCATGGCGGTTGAACTGGAATATCTACATCCGCTTGGATGTGTATATTGGTATGGACTATTTGTAAAATTGAAATCATCACTCTGAACCCCTGTGTGATTGAATGTAAATCATACAAACAGAGGAAGTAGATTCTGGAGTTGTTAAGCTGAAATTCATTTATATAAATCATTGCTATTTAATCATTATTTAACTTAGTAGTGATTTTAGAAAACTATTTTGTTAATCTTACCTTGACAGTTAAAGAAGCGTCATCAATGTTAGATTTGAAAGAATGGTGAATATTTTGGATCAAACTTGATGGATAATACCCTTTTTGTCCAAAACTGAGTCCTATTTCAAAATAGGTAAAACACTATTTATACACACGTTTATAAGTCGTCAACGCTTCTCATCACAGTATTCTAATTCTATTTCAATTAAACATGAACTATTACGTGCTAATTGAAAAAGTGATATTTTAGTGATATAATAGTATAATGACACAAGCACAGACTCACCATGCAAAACAGGATGTTTCAAACCATGCATAAATATACCAAGTCCAATTATGCTTCCAACTGGCATAAAATAAACAGAAATATCGAGGAATTGAGGACAGTTGGTAATAATTAATTTCACAAAACTGAATCTCCTCCTGAGTGAATAAATTAGAATAAGTCACTCTTTCCGTTTATTGAGATAATGATGATTTTACGAAACTAATAAAAGCGACGTCACAATATTGTGGAATATTTGCATTTGACCCAAAATTATTATACAATAATACTTCATAGATTGATCAATAGCAGATACTACACATGTTCGGTAGTAGTTAGTAACTTATTCTGAAGGGCTGATACCACTTTTCCAATGTATGCCTTCAGGTATTCCAGCAATTTAGAATTTGTGACGGGTATAATAGCATCTCTTCCATTACAGGGATTAGTCTTTAAGATTGCGAGTCTGAAAATTAGTGAAAATTGCAAAAATCGCTATTCAATTAAGAATAATAACAGAACATAACCTCACCATCATTGTCAATGGGAATACCCAAATTCCCATAAATGATTTGTTGTATGATACTGCTTGACAAATGTGTCGCTAATAAAATCAGTTATGCAAAGCGACAACACAGTGATCCAGCAAGTTGTGTTCACAGTAGTTGGTAATATGCAAATAAATACACGCTGAATAGAAATCATACCTGAATGCATTGGTATCGATATGTCCACCACTGAAGCCCCAGTTTTAGGGAAATTTCTCAAAGCTTTCATCACGTTATCATCAACATCTTTCTCCGAAAATGGAGTATCAAACCCCTCCTTGAGAACGCCAATTTTCATCCCAGTCAAGTCACGCGAAAGCTTGAACAAGAAAGTAAATATTATTTTAATTTTATTTTTAAAGCCATCAAGTATTTAAGATTGGAAATTCCAAACATGATGGATAGGAAATAATAGGTCTGCCGTGAAAATTATTCTGAAAATGTCTGCACATATATGAATTGTATTCAACACGCAATGACTGCTACAATTACATGTTATTGTTATCTGTCACTATCTCTAGTAATTTATTGTACAATATTTTAACAACGTCATAGTTTTTCTGAAATTAATCTGTTCTCGTATGCTGTGTATTAATATATTCAATGGACATGGTTCAACTTGAGAAGAGTATGGGAAAAACTGTACCTGCTTAGTGTATTCTGGTACAGTCAGATCTCTTGGCTGTCTTGGATCAAGGCCATCATCGTAACCAGCAATAACCTGTTGATAAAAAACACTTTATTCATACCAAAACAAATGTTTTATTTGAACTGCTGAATTACACAAACTTTTGCATTTTGGGGGTGAAATCTGCTCACCAACTTTACGCCGAAGGGGTCCGGGGACATCCTCCCCTTTACCCTCTGAAACGATATGTCGTGCATTTAAAGGGGCAAAGTTTGCTGACACAAAGGGTTTCAGCTTTATTTTGGAGGGGCGACGCCCCCAACCTCCCCCCCCCCCTGTGCTGCCGCCACTGGAATACTATATAGCTTGGAATGATAAACATTATGGTTTCGTGTGATTAACGAGACGGAATTCAACATAAAGATTTACCTCTAACAATAATGCGCAGTCATACACTGTCTTCGTCATTGGGCCAACGTGATCTAATGTTGGTTCTAATGATAGTATACCCGTGTAGGGAACCAACCCCCACGTAGGTTTCAGTCCCACAATACCACACGACGAAGCTGGCCCGCGAATGGATCCTCCTTGGTCAGCGCCTAATGCCATATCAGCAGCGCCTGTTGACACCTGAATAATGATGCGGAATAATACAACCATTTAATTTATTTACTTGTTGTGGCTGACATTTTAACGATAAAATTACTTTAAAAATAGGAATCGTGCCTACATTACATAACGACTCATGTTTTGACATGAAATCCAAAGTTACGTTCTACTTAATAAAACATTTTTGTCAATTATTATGGCATAATTTGTTATACGTAGCCATAGAGTCAATAATATTCACCCCGGTGCAACTAGATATATTGGGTAAAAAAATGACATTATACACACATTGAAAGCCATAAGGGCATACAATCTGTTTCCTGTGGCCGCCGCGATAATGTAGTTTTTTGGATAACTCACAGACCCGAGTTGGACAAATGTGGCTAGTCATAGGTGTATACCCTCCATATCCTAATTATGCTAAATATGTATGGTGTGTGGTGAAGTCAATATGTGACAATTCCTCCCCGGAGAAATGCGTAACTCGTGGGAATGCTTCGTTGTTGATGTCGGACATCTTGTTTAATTACAGACAGTATCTTACGCATGCTCAGTAGAGTGTTTATTACACTACTTTGGGAACTGTCCCCAAAGTGACGTCATTTCGGAAAAAGATGGAAATCCTCGTTTTGGAGTAACGGCGTAAAATTGCGTAACCGCGACACGACTATGGGTGATCGGTCATGTCACATAAAATTTGGCTGTGGTGCGTTATAATATATAATTAGTGTGATATAAACACATTTATACCAATACAGCACTACCAGTACTAGAACCACTAGTCATTTTTGTTGTATCGTAAGGATTAGTTACTGGTCCATTAATTGAGGTGCAGCTGCCTCCAGATGTACACAAATTTTCACAGGTTGATTTTCCGATGATGTGACCGCCTGTATAAAAATAGAGATTACATATTGCTACTAAAATAGAAAAAAACGCATCCAAGATACTTGTTTTAACCTGAAGTTATAACAGAAAAGAAATGTGTTTTGCTGATAATCTAATTAGCTTAAACTCTGTTTAGTAAATTGAAGAAAATACTCATCTGCATCAAGTATCCTAGCAACGACAGTGGCATCATAATCTGGTGTGTATCCATCAAAAATGCGACTTCCGTTACGTAAAGGAACCCGGCTATTGGTATATTGTCTTTGATAGCGATAGTTTTACCTGCAAGCTTGCCATCACTACTACCCTTAATATCACAGCGCCAACACCTAATGCGGTAACAGAATATATATATAATTTATATATAGTATATAATATATTATACAGTAGTTATACGCTAAATAAATGCGTACGTCTACAAAGCATTTCTTCTTTCAATTGTGTTGTGTCCCGTAATTATATGTCGTGACATGCGTATGTTAAATTACAAGTGTAAATGTTGACGAACATACAGTAATTATTGTCACAGAAATTATGCTCCAGGGTTGGGACTACGTGATTGGGAAGTGGCCACTGAGGAGGCCCGGTTGAACACATGCACATGTTGAGCCTTAACCTTAAAGTAAGGTCGATGTCGCATTCATTTGTGAATACATTTTATTTTGGCCAGTGGACTTCCCCCCCCCCCTTTTTAGAACAAAGTGACATAGTCGTCAAGGGTGTTCAAAGCTGCAGGTAGCGTTTTGACATGGGGACTAAGCAATCGTGAGTCCAACGCACATGTATACACTGACATACGTACCATGCATTGTGTGGGTTTTCATCTGGTTTCGGCGCACTCCCGGGTGTGCGTGGATATTTCACTGGCAGTTGTGGTTCTATGAATTCTTCCAGTTTGTCAAACACCTTCAAGGAGTCACATATTTCCTCTAAAACATAATATTGACTGAACTCATACCACACTTTCACTTTTTCGATATATTTAAAACTTTAAAATTCAACCACTGCATGATTTGAAGACAATCCTCATAGAAGACAGACAAATCCAACAAGCTGTAAATCACGTGGTTCCTTTCAATATCTTACCTTTATAATCTTCAAGTTCAGAATCATCAAAATGTAATCCATAACTGCTGGAAATAGAAACAAGTTCATCCAAGGTCGGTGGCCGTACGGTCGGTGATCTATACACTGAAATAACAACCGTAAAACATGCATTCAAACACTATACAATTAAATACATTGAATGCCATGTAACTATAGAGGACGCGTGATTACTGTGACGTATAGAAACTAACACATTAAACTTTGCATACGGTGCTGTATATAAGGTTCATCCCAATATTGCAATATTCATTAAAAATATTTCTGTGCAAGGATTTTATTCATATTTATAAATGACATGTTTATATTGATAAAAATCACCATTTGCATTGGTGACATATTTAATTTGTATTCGTGAAATTCCAATCTTTATTCCTACTAAAAATCTCAATTTCTATTCGTAAAACCCTCATTCGTATTCGTTAAACTTCCATTTATATTCTTAGCTATAGCCAACAGATGTAAAAACTGCACGACAGCAATATACATAATTTAATGGAGCTATAACAGAGTATAGTTACTATGGGAATATACATCATAATACTGTGCATTAGCTCTCGCAATCGCGTACTTAGTCATTTTTACAAGGTTCGCCATTTTTGATGTCACGTGATAATTATGTAAACAATGTCTGTCCAGTTTGTGCGAACTTGCACCTCTATACTTAGTCTTTTGATATATATAACCTAAATTACTGTTCTGAACGAGACAACAGACAGAGAATGTTTTATTTAAAAACGTCACAAAACCTTCTCGCTACCTTAATGAGCAATGATGCTTCCTATCATGCACCATGTATTAAAGGGGGACCGCTCAATCCCATGGATTGCACCAAAGAATCATGGGACACTATTGTGTATGTTGTTTACAAAGTTAATCTATCTTTTGTTATCCATTGTAATTTTAATCCAGAAAGTAAATTTGTTGTGAGATTAGGCTTAACTGGAAGTGCCCCTTTAAATATAAGTGTGAGTATTGATGTGTACGATATCACATTACAGGGAATGAAACTACAGTGCACACACGGCAGGATATAATGTAACACGGTAGCAGGATATGGAATTTGGTCTGGGAGCTTTGCACGACAAGCAGCATAGCATTATAGCATAGAAACCCGTGTTAAAATTCCGTGTACAGGAGCGCATTATATGATACCGTGCAACGCGATAACATTATTCGAACTCTAGTCGGAAAGCCATGTACAATAATCACAATAGCATTATAGAATAGTGACGACAGCGTACTGTCGCGTAATCAAGCACGAAATCGCTACGTTAATGCAAGTTCATATTTCCTGGTCACATGTCTTATTTTAATGTATTGGTGGTAAACGCTAAAATTCACAAACAAAAGGGCTTCTGACGCCATTTACGTGAAGATGTTAGTCTATGTCAAGAGAAACTATGTTCTGATTGGCAATTGCGTAATCAACTGTGCAGTTTACTGTAGGTGATATGTTTGGCATAATCTTCGAAACGGACAATGCGTTGATTTCACAGCAGTTTCAGAGTTTTATCTCTTCATTATTATAGTTACTGTAATAGTGATGATACACCGGGGACAATTTAATGAAAAATAGTACGTGACTGACGTATTTCTGCCCTCAGGTTACTGTGCATTTATTGCACCATACCTAATTGCTATTTGAGCATTAACGAATCACAAATCGCAAACCGTTGTTGCTTGTTTTGGGTGTTTTGGCTTCGTCTGTCGGCATACATGACAGCGTCGTCGTACAGGCCGGACCCTAAATCCGAGGTGCAACCCTATTCACAAAATGGTAAAACGGTTTAAATGCTAATACAAACCCACAAGACATAACGAGTCCTAATTGCTGTCAACAGAACCAATAGCACATAATCTTTGCTAGAAGATATTTTGTTTGGCCAAAGAATTATATTGTATCTTCGACCAGTTTTACTGCCTGGCGTACAGATGTAATATACACTCTCTCCACTTTTACCAGTTTTCGAATAGCGTTTGAATAGTCCATGGCTTGAAAGAGCGCTCCCGTGTTCATTTGTTACATATGCACATGATTCTACGAATACAAATACGAATATAATTGAAGTTTTTACAAATACAAATACAAATATTTCTATTGTACGCCTTCTATGCTCTCTTATCGCATATTTTACAAATGATTTACGAATACAAATGCAAATTTCACAAAGCTGTGACGCTTTTGGAAGTTTCGTGAACATAAATATGTCATTTATAATATTAATATGAATTCTTGCACATATGATTAACCATTTGAAATGGAGGGGAATCTTTTCACGTGTATCCAGAACTTTTTTATTTATACTTTGTTTTCAAAATAGCGATATATGTATTAATACCAAGTTGTATTTTATTTTTAAATCATTTACATTTAAAGCGCCTATAGCTGTAACTATCGATCTTTTCATTTATTTTTATTGAAAAAAAAACCCTAACAATTCCTGTGTCACCGGTGTCAATTTGTAATGACTATTACCGAAATGCGGACATTGAACTTACAGCATACAGTATATGCTCTATACTTCTGTTTGTACAATAAATCAGTTGCAGGTTTACAGAGGGCGCCATCTATTGAAATCCAAAATTTGACAAACGAACCCGTGGGATTACGGTACATGCGTGTGCCCTGGGCGGAATGTCAATTACGTTGCCATCTTGAGAGGCTAAGCCTCTCTCTGACGGACTCTCGCTGATGATTTTATGTGCCATATCCCATAATAGTGTGCGTCGGTCTTCATCATTTTTCAAGTTTACGGTCCACACTGCGTGACCGAATTTAACAAAATGGCGATGACTCGACCCTTAGTTTTCACCTTGCATTTTTAGTGATATTATATTGGCATTGTGTACTATCACGCGAAATAAGTAATATTTCAGTAATATTTTGTCATCAGTATGAAGCTATATTAAAACAAAAACATGTTCTAAATAACAGCTATTGTCGCTTTAAATATATGGTGAACACATTTTTGCCGCCTTGCAGAATTGTTCCCAGCGAATTTCGCTCACAATTTACCCCAAGACGAGTGGTTCAAGTTGTCCAGAGAAAATATGCGTTACCACAAAAGTCTTTTCCATGACAATAAGACACGAATAAACAAACCTGTCGGTGAGAATTTTACTGAAAATTATGGGCTGAGTTGCGGCTTACTAGTATTTGCAGTACAGGCCGAACATACCGAGGTTGCACTCAGCTGGTACTATGAGTGACCTGGGTATAATGAAGTCAGTGCACAAGACAGTGGAGAAGTATAAGTGAGACGTCATTACACGAAATCTGGTGTTATGAAGTTATAGCCATACGCATCAGCTTACCTTGAGAACTATGACTTGCCATATCTTAGTAGATATGTGCCGTATACGTCGTCAATCAAATCTGTATTGATCTAAAGACACTATGATTCTAGGCGACCTTTGCCATTAGTTGTAGCACCCTCTGTGTTGACCTATATATAGTATGAGGGCGCTATTTGAGTGATCAAAAAGATATTAACAATGAGGTACGACTTCTGTGTAAATCATTAGGGACTAACTTGATCTAGTTTAAGGTAAGCATTTTTATTTAGGGTAAGCAATGGACAGTTTATTTAAATTTTAAAGCTCGGCTCCGCAATCCCAGGGATTGCACCAGTGCGTCATGGGAAACGTAATTTGCATGGTCCGTCCAGTTGTTTACTTGGTACATTGCTGTTATCATTTCAACCGAAGGTGTTAATTCCGCCGCGTAAGCTAACATCATGCATTACGCTATTATCCGATTTGAAAGGACTTATTGAATCGCGTTCAACGTTCACTGGGCCCCACAATCTTTTTTAAAGTAGTTTTCTGTGGTTCAACGTGTGCCATAACGTGTCTTGTCGGCTAGGCAATAATGACGTCATG